CCCCCCCCCCTCTTGAACGAGGGCCTCAAAGAAGGATCCTGTGCTACGAGGGTCTAGAAAGTAGTAGTAGCATGTAGTAGTCGTGCCCCCCCCCTCCCTGTGCTACCAGGGCCGAAGGTAGAGGTGGGCATCCCCAACCCCACTCCGGGTTTGAAAATTAGGAGACCCTTCGGGGGCGGCCTCTGGTGGCCACAGGCACCCTATGTTCCTCGGTCTGTTTTGGACTCACAAGTTTCGCCACATTTGCTTGGTTTGCACTGGGTGTGCTGAAGCAACGCTGCAAGCCTTCTGATTCTGAGGTCAACGAACTCGCTTCAGACATTTCAGTCTTCGAGTTTGATAAGGAAGCTGCTGAGGCCATTGTCGCAAGTGAACCCTGAGTGTTGGGCAGATCCCTGCGGGTATTATGTCCGCCACATCACAGTGGACTTTGAACAATGAATACGTACCAGCAATGACCCCACACATAGGAGCAAGGACGCTACTAGTTGCTCCTGGCCTTACTACTAGTAGCAAGAACGCACCCCACATGTCAAGCTTTCGAGTGGAAAGAAGTGATATCGACAACGGGTAGGACAGGAGAGATAGCGGTTGGTGTGAGAAGGTCTGACCCCGACCTCAACAACAGCAGACAAAAGAGCAGCGCAGTAGAAAGCAGCGCAAGAGCGGCTTTGGTGTAAGTTAATGTGAGTGAGTTGGTGTGAGTAGGTTGGTGTGAGCGAGTTTGTGCGGGTAAGTTGGTGTGAGTAAGTTGGTGTGAATAAGTTGGTGTAAGTGAGTTGGTGTAAGTGGCTGCTGGGAGTAAGTTGGTATGAGTGAATTCGGGTGAGTAAGTTGGTGTGAGAGAGTTCTGTTTTGGGGGTAAGGTGGCGGGAGGAAGACGGGAGTAGCCCGTAAGAGTGAGAACCTCACTAGCACCTTTTCCAATCCGCCTGGATCGTGGATTTCCGACTGCAACAGATCTGCTATGCACATGTAGAACACTCAATTCAAGCAATTTGTGCACAGCCTTTTTGTTTGTTTTTTTGATTGCTCTGAGTCAACGAGGCTTGAACAAAGTCTTTACACTGTTATTGTTGACTCATTTGCAAGTCAGCCCCTCTGAGCGTGCTTGTGCAAACTCTGAAGCTATATAAGATTATATAAGATGATTCAATCAACTGTAATCTAGCACTTTTTGCGGCCAGAATTTGACAGTGCCACATAAAGAGCTGTGGAGAATTCCGTTCGGGGCGGTGTTTTGCAAGGCCATCATCCAAGGTGGTGCTGACTACACCGAGGCCATCATGAAAAGACCCTGTAGCCAGTTTTGCCACTGGGAGCGATCGGACGCTAGGGGCTCCTGGCGTCGCTACTAGGAACAAGGACGCTACATGCGTTTGCTTTAGAAGTCACGCTCGGCTGTCCAGAAAAGCTCCCTTGACAGCGGCCAAGAAGCAAGATGAACACTTGGTTGGTTTGATCTATGTTTCAAGTTTCGTGCTGTTGAGATACCCTAACATCACAAGCATCCACAAACTGTGGTGCTGGGCTGGTGGACTGGTTAGCAGGCGAAACCTACTCTTCGCTTGGTGCAGTCAGAAGCTGAGAAGGGAAGGACTCTTGTCATGCTAATCATATTAGCTGCATAGGCTGCATAGGTGTAACTCACGCCAGAAGGTTTTTCGAAAAAGCAGCATTAGTGCTTCATGACGACACCGCCAGCAATAATTTTTTGCAGGATCAGGGCCGGTGCAAAGACACGTTTGATTGTTGATGGCCCGATGGTTCTTGTGAGACTTCTTGCTCTCTCTCTCTCTCTGTGTATGCGCAACTCTGCCGCTGAGAAGCCTGTCGAGGTCTGTGCGCACCATCCCAGAAGCTTTTCCTGGCGCCAGCCTCTCAGGGGGATTTGGTTGCAAATGGAAGCAAGATTTGTGATGTTGACCGGGCAGGCGTCCGGCTGTACGTTTCTAGTTGTTGATGTTGTTGAGGAGTACCTACTGTGTTCCAAATGAACTGTGTAGCACTATGTGCTGGCAGAGTCAGAGCTCCCAGGTCGGGTCGGATATGAGCAAACCCTGTTATTCATGCTTTACTAAAGTAGTCTACGGTATGCTCTATTTGTCTATCATCAGCCCCCATAAACGAGATACCCTTTTTGATCAAACTAAAGTAGTCTGAACGAGATACTGTGACATGACCTCCTACTTATATATGTCTAAACGAGACAGGGCCCCCACATAATAGATAGTGTATTTGAGTTAAGGACTGTTTTTGAATTCCGCCGCTCATATGATTTGACACAATTTGACAACAGCAACAAGGGACAGATTTTTGATCAACTGCGATGTACCATGAAATATCATCAACATATATATATATATACATATCAACGTCGTGGTTTTGTGGAGTTTCTCTTTGCTAGCGAATGTAGGAAGCCAACACCTGCGGCCGCGTGGCCGTGCATTCCTCTGGTAACTTTGTTTTGGTCTCGCTGCTCGCCAGCACAAGCTTGCATGACGGAAAACAGTGATGTAGCAGCCTGACTACGATCTCACAACTGTTTTGAGCAAGGTTCCGAACTCCGAAAGCCAGCACAATCATCGCAGTCTGTGTTCCTTTTCTTCTTTGAGGAATCGGGGCCATGACAGCATCACCGTCTTCCGTGTGACCTGGACTGCAGACTTATATAGCGGCTCTTCAGATTTTAACTGCATAGATTATAGTGGTAGGAAGCATTCTTTCTATCCAAAAAAGGCATTAGCAAACTATAGGCTTGAAGTAACCTGAGGTACATACTTAATCGTGTTACTCAGTTGCTGCCTCCGTGCAGAATGCTGTACGCCGCAGTTCTCAGGTGCATTTCACACATGGTCACAAAGGCCTTTTGTCAACATGCCTGACACAGTTGGGGGGCCAAATGCCGTGGTTGTCGTTTGGAGTGACGATTCGTGCCATTTCGCCCGATCACTTGCTGCCTCAAGTGAACAGTGCCTGAAGGATATGAGGCTTTGTCGGCTTTGTTAGTTGGTGCTTTACAAAAGGCATCAACAGGTCGTTGACAGCCTTATGCACATAGTTGCATAACGCATGCAATTGAGGATTTGCTCATCCTTCCCAAAACCTGCTTCGCTTAGAGATGTTTTTTTCCCCAGATAGCGAAGCTATAGGGGTTCTTACTTCTCAATGGATGGGTTCCTGATTGCGGAAATTGGCTGCCGCTGCCGCTGCCGCCTTGTCTCCCAAGCTTGTCTCCCTTCATGATTT